CACACACATTGTGTACAGTCCAGGTGACTAATAACCTGATTTAATATCATAAATTGGTGACGTGACTCAGTCAGTTTATATTTTAACAGTTTCCTATTAATGCTTTACTCTCTCTCTCTCTCTATCTCTCTCTCTCTCTCTCTCTCTGTGTGTGTGTGTGTGTTGTCAGAGCTTATCAGTGGACACACACACACACACAGTAACACACAAACCTGACCTGGTTTGTCTGAGGAGCGTCGCTGTAGAAACAGTCGAGTCCAGTGTTTTCAGGAGAATCCGTGTTGAGCCTTTATTTCTCCATCAGGTCGGATCCCGGAGGTTGTTTCTTTGATTGACAGACGTCTCGGCCTGTTAAAATCACTCGTCTTTCCCCAAATGAAAAGAAGTTTTCAGTTTTTAAAGAACTTTTTATAAACTGTGGAGATTTAGACCTTCTTAGTCTTTGTTTCCGTCTCTGCTCCAAACCTCACTTTGACCTGGTTTTGTAGCTTAGTGGAAAACAAAGGAGCTGAACATCTGTCCTTTGTCCTTCGTGTTCCTCACGTCATCACATCTCCGTCTGTCTGTTTTCACGTTTGTTAGGGAGGGTAAAAGATACCGAGTGTACGTGGTGACGCCTCTGCTGCCGGGCTTTGAAGGAGACATCAACACAGGAGGAGGCAGCGCCCTCCAGGCTGTCATGCACTTCAACTACAGGTGTGTGTGTGTGTGTGTGTGCGTGTGATGAGGCCACTGATGGATTTCCTCCTCCACTCCTTCTCTGTAACTACACAGTTGCTAATCTTGGATCTACTTCTGTGTGTGTGTACTTACGTGCCATTCCTTTTCGAGGCAGACATTTATTGTGTAGCATTCTTGGGTAAACACTCAGCCCTCCTCGTGCAAACACACAGACACACAAAGGCCGGTGTTGTGTGGACTGTGTAGCTGCCACTCATCCACCTCTGTCCCTCCGTCTCTGCAGGACCATGAACCGAGGAGAACACTCCATCATCTCCCAGCTCCGGAGAGAGAGTGAGTCAGAGGACACGACGCCTCTTTAACACAACTCTCAGATCAGACTCTGAGGAACTGAAGCTGCTTGATTCAGATGAAATATAAAATAAGAAACAGCTGAAGCACCTTTTAAAAGGTTTCACTCCCAAAATATTCAAATTCACATCTTATAACAAAAGGTGGATCCACAGGGAGGAACCCTGTGTTTACTACTGCTCAGTACAAAGTTCACTGTGAAGTATAATGTGTGATATAGAGAAGGGTTAGCGTTGACTCAGTCTGTCATTCAAGCTCAAGCTGTAGTCGAGCTGCAAGAAAACAAAAGCAGATTTAAACAGAACAGAAAAAGTTAAAATCCAGTCGAACGAAGAAAGAAGTAAATGTGTTTTTAGTTTAAACTCCTGTTCGGATTGAAAACAGAAGAAGAATGAGAGTTAGACTGAACTTTATGATTAAACAAACTCCAAACAGAAGATTTGGTCTCAGAAGACATAAACATGGAGTGTAAGTGTCTGCGTCTTGTCTCCAGTGGGAGACCAGTGGATTAACTACATCTCCATCGCCGGTCTGCGGACTCACGCCGAGCTGGAGGGGAAACTCGTCACCGAGCTCATCTACGTGCACAGCAAGATGCTCATCGCCGACGACAACACCGTCATCATCGGTAAACCTCCAGCATGTTTAATCCCACAATGCATCTATCCGGTGTTCATGCAGGATGAACAGATGATAATTCAATATTCTCCCGACTTTATTCATTTCAATGAAAGACACGAGCTGCAGAGGTGGTTCAGAGTTTTCTCTGTATAAGAACGAGAAAAACCAAAAGAGATTCAGTTTCCACTGTGACCACACGTGCTCAAAATAAAGAATAAGAATAAAGAGGTTCTGGGGATAAAAGCAGCCACCGGATGTTAAATGGTCTTGAAAGTAGAAACCTCTTATTATTCAGTATTCTTTATTTTTGAGTCGTCAGTAGTTTAGATCGTTCAGTGAAACGCTCGTCTTCTCCTCAGAGGTGTGTTCGATGTCTGCTCTTCAGCACATCATGCAAATTCAGGTGTTACAGCGCCACCTGGTGGACCGCGTGATCGAGCGTCTCCCTTTGTGTCTCTGCAGGCTCGGCCAACATCAACGACCGGAGCATGCTGGGGAAGAGGGACAGCGAGGTTGCGGTGATCGTGGAGGACTTTGAGACGGTGGATGCGGTGATGGACGGGCAGCCGTACCAAGCTGGGAGATTCGCTCTGCAGCTGCGTCTCGAGTGCTTCAGGTACAGATCCAGGATCCTGGAGTCGTGATGCTATTTTCTCGAGAGCATTGCTTGCAATCGTTTTGTTTTGGCTGCAGAGATGAAAAAGTACATTTGACATTCGAACGTCTTTAAATCAAGGTTTGAAATCGGAGCTCTGATGTAAATCTGGTTTTATAAAGTAATAAATGAGCTCAGAGGAAACTTCGAAAACTCTTTAAGAGATGTGACTTTATCGAACGTCTTCGTTTCTTTACAGAACCGTGGAAATCTGAGCTTCCTGTTTAAATATCTCCGCTGTCAGTTTGTTTGCGTGGTTTGACTTTTTCTTTCTCCCGTGTCTCCTCCTGCTTCCTGTTTCCCCTCAGGATGATCCTCGGCGCCTTCACAGACGCCTCCATCGACGTCTCAGATCCCATCAGCGACCACTTCTACAAGGAGGTCTGGATGGCCACCTCCGCTCGCAACGCCACCATCTACCAGAAGGTACATCTTTATAAATCATTATACATCTTTATAAATCATTATACATCATTAAACATCATTAAACATCATTAAACAACATTAAACATTATATTTCCCTAAAGCTCCATCACGTCCAATTTCTTTCTTTCTTTCTTTAATCTTTCCCACGGTTTTATTTTAAG